TGTTTCTAAGAGAAGACAGCAGAAGAGATCTAGAGCTGACACACACAGTACCTCTTCATTTTTAATGTACATAAAATTCACCTGAGTCTTATGAAAATGCATATTCTGAAGTCAGTTTTAGAAAAACCAAGGATGCTGCATCTCAGTTGAGCTGTAGAAGAAGGCTATGCTGTGTTTCCTTAGTGTAGCAAGTGTTTGAAAGGATGATAACATGGTTTGAATGTAGAGTCCTTTGCAAGGTCATGGGTTGGAACACCTGGTCCCCAACTGGTGGGGACTTCAGGAGGTAGGTCACTAGTACAGGCCCACTGTCTTCTTCCTGATTTAAATGCCATAGGAAGAGCTCAACCTCAAGTTCTGCCAGTGTGGACTGAAGCTTTTCCCACATCCCTTCCAATCATGATGGACCAAAATTCCCTGAGAGCCCTTTTCCTTTAAATTAGTTCAGACACATGTTGTGGTCAAAGTGAAGAGAAAGCAACCAAGCAACCATCAAAGCCAAGTATAGATGCTCCTTCACTACAATGCTCCCTTCAGCAAACTAATATCAAGCTGAAACCAACAGATATCGAAAGCACACAAACTACAGCCAAACTTGCAGGCGTCATAGCTTGGCTCATGTCACCTTGCATGGACTCGGGAAACTTCCATTAGCCTCCTGTTGGCCAAAGTCATCCAATGCCAAGCATATTTCATAATAAAGCATTGTGCATCTCTTCCAGCTAACTGGAATTTGCAGGCTCCTGCTGCTTCCAATCATCACAAGTGGGTTTTGCCCAGCATATCGCCAGCTGGGCACAAGATCAAGACTCAAACTCTGAAGCAGGATTCTTTTTTAATGACTTTTTGTTTTCGAAATTAAAATGTAGTTGCATCATTTTGTAGAGAGCTGCGTGGAGCCACACCTGATAATCAGCTCCTAATATTGGCTAAGGCCTGATCAAGCAATGATTGTCAGCTGCTTGCATATGCGTGAACCTATGGGCAGTGCCCACCTGGCAATCCGGGGTTGGCGGCCCGTGACTTTTTAAGGGCTGGGAGCGGGGGAGAGAAAGAGAGACAAAGTCCTGAATAAACTGCTAGCAGGAAGAGCTCCGGTGTCGCGTCATCCTTGCTGGCCGAGGTGGGCGTGGCATCATTTCCCTTTTCCCTCCTTCCCTTCAACCCCTCCCATGTACCCCTTTGCTCTCTCTCAAATTCATGATGTTGTCATGCCCCCCACATGCATACATACGTATGTATTCCTAAGTATGTAACTACAGCCTGCACAGTCTGCATAGTTTAACTTGTATGTGTGTGATCTCAGGGGGCTGACCACTTGGTATTGGGTAAGCATTATAGGGTTCTTCCCTAAATAAGACTATTTCCCCTTTCTCTGTATTTCTTAGTTGGTGCATTTCTTAATGGCTGCATATCACTTAGGCATTATTGAGAAGCAAAAAAAAAAAAAATAGACAAGAAAACATTAAGTATTACAAGTTGGAACCTTCTGCAAGGAACAGGGAGAGGGAAAGGCCAGAACTGACACGATGCAATAAATCAGAGAGGGAAACCCCTGATTGTGGAGGTGGATTGCGGCGCCTTGGAGTCACCGGCCATGGTAGGTGTCCAGATTCTCTAAGATGGCAAGGATGTGGCAGTTTTTAAGGAGAAGGGAAATCGCTGCATGAAGAACAGCGTATATCGACGAGTCCTTGTGCAGGCAGGTTATACTGCAATGCCTGCAAACTAAAATAAAAATGTGTGGTTTTATTGGCATGATCATCAGCAGAAAGACGTGACAGCATTAAGGTTTCTTAAGTCTGATAAAGATGACGAACAGAGCCTCTGTGGTAGTGAGGATAGACTTGGACCCAAGGGACTACCTGAGAAAGGTTTAAGGACTAAAGCGGGGTGGTTCCCATATTAATTTCAAAACCAGGCAACTGTTATTTGGTATTTCTCTGCATTTTGGTTTCGCAGTCCTAGCATCTGTTCTTAATATGACACTTGGTGACACATGATCTTGACAAAGCCACTTGCTCCCTGTTAGCAGCTACTGTCACATCTTTTAGAAAGCGAAGAGTTGACCTGAATAAACACCATGGTCTCTTTTAACCCTGAACTTTATAACCTCTCAGGCCTTAAATAATTTCTTACTAAGTGTTAGAATCATAAAGCACGGTCTCAGAGGTCCTACAACACCACTATAAAGACACACGTATGACTCGCATTGACTGCCGAACCCACAGATATAGCAAGTGGAGACGTTTTTCCACCCCATCACCTTCTCCCACCGCTGCATTCCTTTCCAGGTCCGCCCACCCTTCCCCATGCATTCACATTACTTTTCATTCTTGCAGCAGCGCTTTTTAGTGTTCCCTCTGACCTCAGCCTCGCCAGCCTCTAAACAAACTCTGAAAAACTAAAGAACTTTCAGGTCAGAAAGACTTCAAGTTGAACGTTAAGTCCGCGGCTTCTTCCCTGAATATCTGTCGACGGGTAATTTAGCCTCCTAAACTCTGCGTCCCCTTGTCTGTAAGTCACAGAGATGATTGAAGATGAATGTTTGCAAAGTGCTCCGTGTAGGGTCTGTGACACAGTAAGAATTCAAAAACGATAGCATTTGGAAAGATACATCTCAAAAAGGCTCAAAAACAGGCACTTCACAAAAGAGGACTATCAATTGGCCGCATTTAAAAAATGAAATGATATTCCTCATTAGTAATCAGCAAAATGCAAATTGATACTTATATGAGTATAATTACACATTCACCTGATTAGAGAAACGAAAGAGCCTGCAAATGAAGTACAAGGCAAAACGCTGAGTTTCCCCCACGCCATCGCCATGGGTACAATTGATGTGTCCGACTCAAAAATATTTTTAAATTATGTATTAAAATTAAAGGCACACAGACCTCAAAACTTAGCAATCCCTCCTCTTTGTTTTAATTCTAGATGCATGTGATAGAAACTAGATAAAATATGAATGCCCATCAAACAGTAAAGGGATAAGCAAATTTTTGGTATATTTCTATAATAAAATGCTACGCAACGACTTATGTAAATATACTATCTGCGTGAACTCAAGGTTTATGACCAGAGGATTAAAGATGTAAATACTGTAAAGACAAGCTTGTGGAACTGAAGTGTAGACAAACTGAAATATGTATGGTGGACATATTTAGATGTAAATTCTACAAAGAACGGCGAGGGGCTGAGTGACAGAAAAGGTGGCTGGGTGGCCACATGTGTCCCAGAAGGAAAAGCAGATGATCTGGAGTATGTGGTACATGCTGGGAGTCTATGAACTATGATATGTAATTATCTTTACCTTCCCCTTATTTAATATATTCCTGAATGGGTAAAACATCCACATCTTTACAATAAGACAACTGTGTCACTCTCCTAGTGAAGATCTCCAACAGCTCTTCATTTTAGTGTAGAATTTACATGCCTTGACTTTGTCTAAGAGATCCCTCATGTGTCTCCTGTACCCTCTATCCCAGTGCTGAACAAGAATGCTCCCAAGCAATCGCTCTCCCAGCCGATGGGGTTCCCACGGTGTGTTGATTGTGCTTTCCTCCCTCTGGCTAATCTCTTGGTGTCCACTAAAATGTCCCTTGTGTGAAGTCTTCTTGGCTAATTTTTTCCATATCTGTGAGATTCTTCTCTTCGGAATGTCTTTGCTTCCCCGTGTCTACCTGCCGGATTACACGTCACTAGTCCACAAACTATAGAGTGCATCTGTCCTGCTGATAGCATTTCATGTAGGGCACACATTCCTTTAAGATAGAGAAGCTCATCTAGTCCAAAAGCCAGTAGGATATCTACATAACAGATTGCCATTAAGAGTTAGCTTAGTAGATAAGTGTTTAGCCTGTGGTTAGAGTATATCGTCTACTCCCTGGGAATAACATAGAACAACATATAGAGTCAACCATACAAAGCTGTTATTGCTGTAGCTCATAAATGGTTGGTTACTGGCTATTATATGTAATTCTCTCTCCATACCAAACACAGAACACATTTGTATAAAGCACACTATAGTGGGGACTCCTGGATCTGCATCTTTAGGGTAATGGTTGCAGGTTGTAAAAACCATAATATGAATCACTATAGAACTCATTTCCTCAGATTTCTGCAGCTATAAGCACCACATTTAGCCACAGGACAGCCTTGCTAGTAAGAAGCTGTCATGCAAATGAAAGTGAGATATTGCTCGCCAGCACCAACAGCTTCCTTTTGGAGTCTTAGAGGCGCCGTCATTGCATGCTGTGTCTCACAGATCTTATTTGATGGACTAGAACTTGTTCTTCTCAACTGTAGTTTATTAACCACTGCCGTTGGTGGCTGTCAAACATCAAGATTTGACTTGAAAAGACGTTCTATTTGGGTGTGCTGATATTCTTATAAAGTAATACATTTCCAAATTATTCTAAGTAGGTAGAGCAACTAGGTGTATCTTCAACATTGTTTTTCATGAGTCGGGGGGGAGGAGCCTGGGTGCATGGATGGTTATGTGTGGTGCAGGTTTGGGTAGATGTGTAGTATGTGTGTGTGGTGTGCATGTGGTGTATGTGCATTTGTGTGTGTGTGTGTGTGTGTGTGTAGTTCTGAAAGGAATGAGGCATTATAATTTAGCTCAGAACTAATTTTTCCACTGAAGGAGTTGAATCAGTATAGAAACATGCTGTAAACTAACAACACCACTTAAAATAATGTTACCCAGCTGTTGCTCTAGAACATGGTGTTTTTAACTGGAGCCAGCCTGTGGAGACGGGATGACTTGTGGAGACGGAATGACGGGATATCTTAAAAATCCCCAGAATTATAAGTAGTGTTGGAATGACCACACCATCAACTAAGGCGCATGCTCTTTCCTACTGATTTTTATCCAGGTTGACACCATTCAGAGCAGAATTTCTCCAGATCCATATATGAGACAATACGAGATAGGTAAGCTGTTCACATTGACTGTCAATGTTCTACTAAGGAATACTTGCAGAGTTTCCACTCACCACTGCTTGTGTGGTTTCTCATCGATAGGAAAGCGGTCTGATTCAACAGCGTCTTGCATGAGTTGCCATAACCAAGATCTGAGATGGTCCTGCCGGTGGTGTTCTCACACTATCCTAAAATTGGGGCAAAATAATGCATCAATTTGATTTTAAGATTTCACATTTAATTTCACTTGCACTGTTAAAACCAAAATACCAACATCAAATACAATAAAGGAATTTTCCCATGTGGCAAGGATCAGGGAGATGACATCAGACATGTGAGGTAATAACTTTTGTTAGAATTTGTTGCAAATAAAGGAACTTTGGTGTCCTTCATAGAAAAACAGCTAGATGTTTTTAAAATCTGAGCAAAAAAATTAATAATGATTTGAATGAGCAGGATCTTTGCTTTTCTAGCTGTAGACTTAGTTCTGAGATCCATCAGTTCAGCTTCCACTGGAACACAATCTTCTTTTACAGTAGAGTTCACCAGAACAATGGCTACCCGGTTACCAACAGAAAGGAGATGTTGGTCTGAAGGCAAAAGAGGCTGCTGTCGTCATCCGATTTTACCACAGACCCACTCTTTCCCTTATTGCCGTATTAGTTTAGAGCAGAGTCTCAAGGCCTATGCCAGTTTTCAGTTTTCTACCTATTGCCAAACCACGAGCTTAATTTCCATCTTGTCAAGTCCGGAAATAATCCTCCTTTCTAGTCAGGTAAGAGTCTTATCCCAACCAGGGTCTTCCAGTGGTTACTAGGAATACCTTTCCCACCACTACCCACTCATCCACTTCCAACATCCCAGGGTGTCTCGTGTGCCACATGTCACCATGTTAGAGTGCAGTATCTTCCTCACTGGTCCTACTGCACTGACCATCAAACTATCCCACTCTCACTACTGAACTCAACTCCCCACACAAGCATCGACTCCAATGGTTGAAATGTGTTATCACCTCACTCTCTTCTACCACAGCAAGCTCTCATCCAATGGAAACTTACTGTGTGCCTGCTGTGTGCCTTCTGTGTGCTAGGCTGAGCAAGACAGACCTGAAGGCAACGTCTCCTCCCACAGACAGGGAATAAGCATAGCCAAGTAAGTAGACCTGGGTGTAGACTGAGGTTTCTTTCTGTAACATGAGGACTTGCTTGTTGGGGTTTCTGTCCTGCCCAGTTCCCACAGCTGGTATAGCCCCAAAGAAATCACACAAAGGTATATATTAATGATAAACTGATTGGCCCATTAGCTCAGGCTTCTTATTAACTCTTTTAACTTATATTAGCCCATTATTCTAGTATATATTAGCCGCATGGTTCAATACCTTTTTCGGCAGGGCAGGTCATATCTTCCTTCTTCCATGTCTGAGCAGGACTGGGGGAGGAACAGGCTTCCTCCTTCCCAGATTCTCCTGTTCTCATTGACCCGCCTCTACTTCCTGTCTGGTTGTCCTGCCTATACTTCCTGCATGGCTACTGGCCAATCAGCATTTATTTAAAATATAATTGACAGAATACAGAATTGTCCCACACCACCTGGGGACCTCCCTTTACACTCTGGGGTTTCAGGTCGTATTTCTATATAGAATGACAGCAATGACTCCAAGTCTCACACTCAGAAAGCATCTGGTACATCCAGGAAGGCCACTAGCCACAAACCAGGACTCGGTTTAATTTCTGTGAGGAAAACCCACTGACATGGATTTTGAGAGTCTCTAAGTCTCAGTTGCTTATGTTTTGTCTCGTTCCTCATATTAAAGAAGGAGGGGTGGGGTGAGGAATCGGTAGACTCCTGTCTCTCCCTGTGCAGGCTGCTGGGCAATGCTGGGTGCCCTGCGCCATGGCTGCGCCTTCACTCTGCACAGCTCTCGGGTGTCTGAGCAGCTGCGACTGGAGTACCTCTGCAGGAGGAGCCTCCCACCATTTATCTTTCTATGCAACACTTGGGTTTCCATTCCCACCAGCACTGATCTCTTAAGTCTATGGATCTTGTAGCTTGTAGACGCTGAGGATAGGAACTGCGAGAAAAGCCAGAGTAGCTTGCTGGGTGTCCAAAATGTCATTTAAACTACAAACCTTTTACTGAAAATAGGAGTGTTTGGAGCCAGCTTTCAAACATAAAGGTTTCATTCATGGGTTTTGCAGTGTTACCCAGTATCTCTACTCATTTTTACCAAGATTCTCTACTTCTTTTGTTTTCTTTAGTTTGTTTTTGTTTTCGCTTGACAAGGTTTCTCTGTAGTTTGGGGGCCTGTCCTGGAACTAGCTCTTGTAGACCAGGCTGGCCATGAACTCACAGAGATCTGCCTGCCTCTGCCTCCCTTATGCTGGGATTAAAGGCGTGCATGTGCCACCACCACCTGGCTAAGAGTCTCTATTTTTTAAAACAACAAATTTTTTTCTACATTAAACATAGGGAAAACAATGGTCCTCAAGACATATAGATTCTTTAAGTTTCCTTTCTTCACCTTAATTTGTTCATGGGGTTGAAATATACTCAAAACAAGAGAAAATTCTGCTCAAAATACTGAAACTGCAGCGTAAAAACATTGGGGGAAAGACAGTATGTCTGGACATGTATGTCTGAACATGTATGCCTGAACATGTATTTCTGAACATGTATGTCTGAAAACACGGGCTCCGTTCTAAAAGACAGTTCCCTTCAAGCAATATGCAGCAAGCCATCTTATCAGAATTAGCTGCACAGTGTCTCCACTCAGGGTTATGTAATGCAATAAATAATCTCAGTATGCTAAAGAAGCCAATGGATTCTGTTCCTCTTGACTGAGAAAGCTTCTCTCCCTGGAGTCTGAGGGCCCACCTCCCCCACGCCTCCTCCATGCTCTGAGGAAGATGCCATAACAGAAGCATGGGTGGCGGGAGGCAAGCCCGCAGCTCATAGAGCACAGCATCCCTTTCTTGGTACTGGACCCTTCTGCGTCTCTCCATGCAAGACTGCCACGATGGCAAGCAGAAGCTTCCAAAAGACTCTCAGAGGAAGCAGGAGGAACAGGATGAGACCCTCTGTGTGGAGATGTGTTTGCTCCTCGTGCAGCCCACTTTTCCAATGAGCAGCCAAAGATTTACTCACAATTCCACTCCACATCCATCCTCTAGCTACAAATATGACCGGAAGTCAGCTCTAGAACAAGGAGGGAAAAAAAAATGCCTGACCCTGAGTCTAACAAACAAGGAAACCTCAATTGGTCTTTATCTTTTATCATCAGGATGGAAAACCTTGTATTCCAAAGAGATAGATCCAGTTACATGAGAATCTAATATAACTTTCAGGATATGTATGTGCCTTTGAACACTTAAATCAGGCGAACATCGTTTGCTTTCTGATATTCCTTAGCATACAGTGAAAGAGTTTTGTCACGAATTTAAAATAACTGCATTTTATAGCACCCCTGATCAACTCTCCTCTTAACCTTGCAACATCTCCACCACACACTAGAAACCGGAGTACTAGCTGCAGTTGCGCCAGACAGTCACAGTGAGAACATAGTCAGTCCCTGTGGGAGCTGTTCAGAATCAACCCCTTCCCGCATGCAAAGGCACACCTCTCCCAGCAGATGCTGTTTTTTTTTTTAGGGGGACAGCAAGCAGGCAGCTGGAGGCAGCTGAATTTGCCACTCCCTAGGTACTTTTGGCTTCCCTGTCACCTGGAATTTCTCTCATTACAATTGCAAAGATTTTGCAAAAACCAGAGCCCCACAGATGAAAGCTACTTAGGACAGGAGGGAAAGAGAGGCCAGTAGGGAAGGAGAGGCCAGTAAGGAAGCTGGAAACTCAGACTTAAGGTCATTCCACCTTTCTGATCTGCTTTTCCAGTCCTATTGTAGGGGAGAGACGATCCCTTTTGGTGTTTGTAGACAAACAACGAGCTAATCCAATACTTTGTGTCAATATTGAGGGTAAGATTAAGGTTTTTAAAAAGAAAAGAAAGGAACCGCATACAAGACTGCTCCATCAAACTACCTAGCCCTAAAACCCAATGGTTGCAAAGTGGAGTTGGAAGCTCGTGAATTCATTCATGAGCATGGCTGGCTGTACTAAAACATACATGCTCACTGAGGACAGGTGTCTACTGAAGCCTCTCGGAGAGAACTGGCCATTACTGCAACCATTTTAAATATGTTGATCAGCATTCTGCAAGACCTTGCAGGCTTGACAATCATAGCACTGGGAGAGAGGGAAAAACCGCACAGGTAACGCCTGGCGCATCGACCACCCGCCCTCCTTCCCTGCCAACTGTGGTCTGTCCCATATGACTTAGCCTGTGTTCGTGAAAGTTATCGCCAGTGCTGTCGTACAGACACATTGCTCTGCAGCAGAAACAGACCGTGTAAACAACCTTGTGGCTGCTCCAGATCCTCCTGCCCTAGGAGTAGCTGCTCTTTTCTGTGGCCAGATTTGCAATGCCCTTGGAAGTTATCTGTATAAGGCAGTCAAAGCAGCATCTTGGCTCTATATTTAAATGTTGGAGTATATAATACATGGATATAATTTTCTTGAAATATCCAAAACCCAATTTACTGGAAGGCTTTCCGATAAACCACAGTTATTCTGCTGAAGGAGCAAACACCTAAATTCTGATGACTGTATCACCAAGCTCTTTTCCAATGACAGCAATTTATTTTTTTTTCTTCAGAAAACGCACTGACATTTCTAGGGGACACAGTATCTCTGCACAGAATACCTGGGAACCTTGCCATAGAAAAATGCTGCCTGCTGTGACTGGGAGATCACTTTCTTAAAGGGACCTTTACCTATGTGGACGCGGTGCCAGTGTTTGCTCTTTTCCCTGATCAAGTCCCTGTACTGCGTTCCTATCTGCAGCCCAAATTTAGTTCGGGGTCTTTCTACAAGAACATCATCTGTGTGTGTGTGTATGTGTGTGTGTGTGTGCAACATCATTAGTTCATTATAAATGTGTGTATGTATATATATATAAACTGTATGATATATTTCAGAATATTTAAAGTTAAACCTGTCTATAAACAAAATTTATGTCTATTAATGACATTTTTAAATCTTATGAGACCTATAGTATTTCACAAACTGAGATCCACACTTCTAAACAAGCCTCTCCTTCTCTCTCTCTCTCTCTCTCTCTCTCTCTCTCCCTCTCTCTAGCTAGCTTTCTATCCACCACCCCCCCAAGTGTGCATTTCCCTTACTCTGCTTTGCGGGTCACAATCGTCATGGTCTGTCCCACCTTCTAGCTCTCTTCACTCCTCGGTCTGAGGAGAGGTTGCCCAGAGTAAAATGCCAGGGTCCTCTTAGCTCACAGACAGTATATTTTGTTAAACCGGCTCTCCAACCGCATTGCTTCCTACTTTCCCATCCTCTCTCCCATCCCACAAGAGCGATGACAGATATCACCCACCCTCCCAAAACAGGATAGAACCCAAAATGAGCAAGAAGTCACCTACCATTCCGTGCCTGGGAACCAGGATCCTGGTCGGGATGCGTGCCCCAAAAATCCTCCCTACTGGGTTTTCAGTAGCCACATTCCAAGCTGGAATGAGGAGGAGGGTCTTTGGAGGTGTGGAGATTGTTTAAAAATAATAATAGACAGGTGATTTCCAAGAAGAACGGATCTTTAGCTCACTCAAACCCCTAGGAATTGAAGAGTGAGGAAGAGAAAGAAAATTTGTAAAAATGAAAATAGAAAAACAAAAAGGTAAGGATTTAATATATGGAGCACCACCCACCCCCATAAAAATAAAAAAAGAGACGGAAGGATTAAAGAGAAGAGTGGCTTGCTGAATCACCCTCTCTCACTGCCTGGAAACCATTGTGCAGCGGGAGGCTGCCTGTACCATTGTGGAACCTACCAGAGGAGACGGACAGAGGGCTTGGGGAATGGGGTTGCTATGGCAACTGAAAGGAGCACACATGACGTCAAAGCCCAGAGAGGTCTAGGGAGGGGTAGGAGGAAGGAAGAGAAAAGGAAAAATTCTATCTGTGGCTACAGCTACCTCGTTTTCTGGCGAAATGGGAAGAAGAAACAGGACCGTGGCAACTGAGATCTGCGAATTCAGCGCTGGGGCGGGGAGGGCGGGGAGGAGAGCGGGGGGGGGGGGGCTCGTCACAAATCCAAGGAGCCCCTCCTCTATGTGACTCGAGCTTGGCACAGCACCGAGGACAGATCGAAAAGCCATTGGGAAGGCAGTCACCCTCGCTTTTCAACTACCTCAGCTATTTGCGGACAGCAAAGAAAGAGAGAGACGTGCCATCTCGCTGAATGTCAAAACAAACAAGAGATGCTCATAACCTCAGAAGAGAAGCAAGGAGTGGAGCTGCGCCCGGATCACAGAGGTCATTTGTCCAACACCATTTCTTCTCTGTCTCCCTATTTCATAAAAATCCTGCATAAATATCCACTAAAGCAAACTCACTAAACTGACGTTTATATCACAATTTAAAGTAGAAAAGGAAATGCTGGTAATTTGTGTTAACAAATTAAGGTATGGAGTACATTTCTTCTGGTTTGAGAAAACTCTATAGAAAACTAATATAAATTTCACTTACTATATGTTTTAAGCTAGTTTCCTGACTCTGCTGTAGGATATTTTCAAATTATGAAAACTATATATATGCATCATCTATGTAGGACAGCATTCGACTACTTTCACTGTTAAAATGTTTACCAAAGCAGTTGTCCCCTTATGTCTGCAAAGCAGTTCTCGTCTTTGGGCTTCTCAAGCCACACAATCAAACTCAATCCTATCTTCTGGAATACCTTCATGGTGGGTTTCCATCTGATGAACCAAGTCGTGCTGAAGTTTATGCTTCTACACTGTGCTTTGGAGCTGGCGCACTGGCATGAACAAGGGGCTCTGCCATAGGCTAACAGAAAAGATCTAACACAGCAGGTGTAGAGCAGGCATGGTGGCAGATGCTGCAAGCGTCACGAAACCCCGAGGAACCAAGTTGGGTTTGTGGTTTCTGGGCTACTGCTTCGTCTGACAAGGAAGCTAGGAAATGGAAAAACTGGTTCTGGTTTTCACTCTCGTGTCCCTCCACACACACACACACACACACACACAAGTTCTTAGTTGCTTCTTTGATCTAAATTCAATTTAAGAATCAGTAGTTGACTTCTAATTTTTACACTCCACTTGGGTCTACTTATAAATTATGGCTGCCTCATATAAAAATATGGATGACTAGCCAAACAACTTTTTAATAGATAGCAATTGATATGCTGCCTTTTAAATTATTGTATTTTTTTCTATTTCTCCACCCCCCCACACACACACACACACTTTTCTGTGCTAGGAATTGAATATCAAAGCCCTACGCATGCTAAGCACTCTGCCATCATTCAGCATCCCAAAGTTGTTCCCTAAGTTTGATGGCAAAAATCAATCCCCAATAATTCAATATCGATAAGGAGAAACTGAACTTCAGCTTTTACACTGTAAACAAATATTAAGTCAAGAGAAGTTAAACACCAAGACATGAGTGATAAACATCTCTAAAGCTAGTAAAATAATGTGTATCTCTTAAAGGAAAAAATAGTTTTGGATTTTGAAGTAAGGTAAGATTTCTTTGGGCAAATAAATGTACTCAGTTTGAAAAAAAAGAAGATAGAAACACACCTCATCAGCATTAAAAGCTTTCACTTACCCAAAGCCATCAGGTAGAAAGCAAACTAGGAGAAAATATTCTTGACATATATGTGAAAATATATTTGATACATGCAAATTCCTGGTTGTGTAAACATTTTCTATTCACCAATGAAAAAAACAAGCAATGGTGTCCAATGAGTAAGACTTGGGCAGACATTTGACAGGAGATTTATAAATAGTTCATATGTCTATGAAAAAACACTCAACGAATCTAAATCGTCAAAAATTCTAATTAAGGCCACAAAGAAACTCCATCTCATGCCTACAAAACAAAACAGCTAAAATTAAAAGCACTGATAACACCCAGTACTGGCAGGGCTGTGAGAAACCAGAGCTCTCAACTGCTGGTTAGAATAGAAAGGATTAAACTTCTTTGGGAAGCAGATTGGAAGGTTTTATCATGATAAACACACACCTACAGTGTGACTCAACAATTCCATTTCTAGGTATTCATGCAAAGGAATAGAAACATATGGCCACAAAATGCTATACATAAATGCTACACCAGTTTTATTCTCAATAAGTAAAAACTAGAAGCAACTGAAAGTGTGTCCACAGAACAGATAAGCAAACTATTGCTTATTCATGTAGCAGAATTTTTCAAAATAATGGCAGCCCTGGATATATTGAAGCCAATCATTTCATTTATTGAGTTTCCAGGAGGAATATAGATGCCAACCAGATTTGGAGAAGAATATATTGTTTAACTCTCTAATCCTCAGCCTGTATATTTCAATAGTGTTTACATTATTAGCATAGTGTTTAAATTATATTCTACATACAATGGGAAATAATTTCCTAAAATTTGAGTATGAAATGAATACAAGCTTTTTTTAATCAATGCATAAATAGTTCCCATTCTTTATTGGAGTAGACCAAGGTTTATTTGACATCCTTGATTTTAGTGTATTCCTCTACTTTCACATCTCAGTCCAACAAAACAAGTTTCGGGACCTCCTATACCCCAAATGAACACGGGATAGGAAGTGTAGTAGAAGAAGGGAAACGTCATTTTTGAGATTATTGTATTTGCACGCAGTGTATCCTTTTGACTGAGAAGGGGTAAACTTTTTTAAATGATTTTGAATGAAGCTGCATTTAAAGAAGGTCTGATTTGGGACCTTTCAGTGCTTTCATTTTCTTAATAAAGGTGGGTGGTCCTTGGACTTCCCACAGGGCAGGGAACCCTGATTGCTCTTTGGGCTGACAAGGGAGGGAGACTTGATTGGGGGAGGGAGAGGGAAATGGGAGGCAGTGGCGGGGAAGAGACAGAAATATTTAATAAATAAATAATTAAAAAGAAGATTAAAAAAAAGAATTTTAAAAGACTAACTTAATGCATGTTCTTATTTTTAAAAGGCAGACTTTATGTACCATCCTTCATTTCCAAGTCTGTGTGTAGTGGCAAGGGTGTGGTCATACTACTAAGGGCTTTGAGGATAAACTGCTAGAACATGCAACGATATGGATGACTCTCAAAACATTGTTCTGGCTGAATCATCTTATTCAAGAGACTTAAGGACAGACTTACGACTGCTATACGTAGGTAGGAATCAGAGCGATCACTGCACAAGAGAGGCAGATGGTGGGCTGTCCAGACTGAGAGCGGAATGTACACACTGACAAAATCGGCCTATATCGTGATAGAGATGTCAGATATCATATGTGTCCATCGATTTGTCAGGGCTAATTGAGATGTAACTCTTTAAATGTATGCATCTAAATTACATTTAATTTAATGCAAATTAAATTCTAATATCACGGGAAATTTTTAAGTTAATTTCCAAAAAGAAAATTGCTAAATGACCGATAAGTTAGAGTTCTAAAAGTTACAAATCAAGTGCTTTGTCCTAAGTCACGATTTATTTTTATTTATTTATTTATTTATTTATTTATTTATTTATTTATTTATTTTTGGAGACCCAAGTACATCCAGTGTAGAAGGACATGAGGTTCCTGTGCTCACAGATAAGCACTAGAGAAACCGGGGTTGTTAAATACACATAGGCTTTTATCTTCAGTGAAGAAATTGACGCCTGGTCACCTGGAAGGCCGGAGTGGTTGTTTTTAATAACGCGGTGATTTTTGCTGTTCCATGGAGCCAGACCCCAGAGTCCTGGGCATTGTTTCTCACTCAATAGCACCATCCTTGTGCTCATCACAAAGCCTTCCTCCCTAGGCCCTTATCCTGAGAACCGCTTCTCAGTCAATAGAAGGATTCTGTGGTAAAGGTCACAGGTGTTTTGCTAAATAGATGTGTCTTGCAAAGGAATTTCAAAGTAGCCATATCTAAAGCTTTGTTGTAATCATTGCTACAGGGGTAGATTGTCCAAAGTTTTACTGCTTTTAAAAAAAATAAACTGCTTGACATCAGACTCCAGAAGTTTGAACCAGCCTAAGTCATGCTGAACCAGGTTTCCTTCTTACCTCACGCAGATCCTGTCCCTGCCTGCTGTGATAATTGCAGGGACCCCCACAACCTAGCAATGGATAAGGCCCAGCTTAGTGTCCCTGGGATCCTAAGTAATCTGGTGTCCATCAGAGAGGAGGGCAATGGCTGAGGGAAGCTTGCACAGCACACAGATGAACGTGCAGACGTGTGAGAAACAGGTTTTTCAGGTTGGAGTGAAACCTCGGTGGGGTAAAATGCTTGCTGTACAGAGTTCAGTCCCCAATGCCCACACAAAGTTAGCCAGAATGGCTAGTACCAGGTGGAAAAGCAGAATCCCTGGGGCTTGTTGGGCAGTCAATCAAGCCAAGTCATGGAGGCCCTGGAACAGGGAAGAGACTCTGTCTCAAAAATTAGGTGGAGTGTTTAAGAAAGATACCTGATATCAGTCCTTGGCTTCCACATGCAAGTGCACACAATTGTGCAGGCATCCTAAACATATGAACAGAGAGAGAGAGAGAGAGAGAGAGAGAGAGAGAGAGAGAGAGAGAGAGAGAGAGAGAGAGAGAGAGAGAGAGAGAGAGATATTTTCAGAGAAGACTACCAACAAGCAAACCACTGGTTTCCCCTGAGAGACACTCATGGATTGTCAGGTCTCAGACACTGAAGAATGTGGCCCAAGCTAAGATTTGGCTTTCCAAGCGGAACATGGCGGAGCTCAGGGGCAGGGGACATAAAAGAATTGAGTATACAG